GGGGGGAGAAGGGGGGACCCCAGGACAGTCTGATCCATCCTCATCACAGCATCCTCAGCAGACATGGTGAGAGGGAGAGCCAGGAAGGACTATCTGATGGACTCCAGCTCCGATGCCCACCTCCAGGTGCCCAGGTGCCCACTGACCGACCTGCTGAACACAGAGGCCGGTGCCATAGGACACAACATCACCACTTTCCTGGACAATGTCCAGATCCTGCTGGAGGCTGCCAGTTACCTGGAGAGGGTGGACCAGGAGAGGAAAAGTAAGTGCCCCCTTCTGCTCGGAGAGCCAGACAAAGGGGGGGCCCGAGAGTACAGAGGGGCTATTGTGAGCTGATGCCAGCCAGACAGGGCGAGGGGTGGGGGAGGAGGGGGGTAGTCTGGGTACCAGGAGCCCTTGTAGGGGCAGTTTGATGGAGCCCAGGGTCCAGGGGAACTTCTCTGTCTGTCTAGACAAAGAGCTCAGACACTTGACCCTCCAGAAGGTGCCAGGCCTGGAGGCTGGCACATCACATGTGTGCCGGTGCAATCATCGCATGGGCTCTTTCTGTATGTGAAATGTGTGCAGGGATCACATGTAGTCATCACACATGTATGTTACACGTGTGTGTGCCGGGGCTGCTATGCCAATTCTCTTTTGTGTGTTCATTCTTTTTCTGCATGTGTTCACCAAACATGTCACCATGGACCTGTGTACATGTGTGTGTGCTGATCGGTACATGTGGACTGCTATGTGATGTGCAGGATGTGTTACATACATGTATGTAATTCTGTATAAAGTCCACAATTGCTCTTATGGAACTGCCTTTTATATCAGTATGTGATGTACCATGGATGGATCGATCTGATTGATCCAATCTATCAATTGATCATGAACTCTAGACCTAACCAAGCCAATTTATCAATTGATCAATACATCATGGACTCTAGATCTGATTGATCCAATCTATTAATCGATCAATAGATCATGGACTCTAGATCTGATTGATCCAATCGATCACCAGATCTTGGACTATAGATCTGATTGATCCAATCTATCGATCAATAGTTCATGGACTCTAGATCAGACTGATCCAATGCATCAATAGATCCTGGGGAAAAGTTCTCTTTTGTGTGTTCATTCTTTTTCTGCATGTGTTCACCAAACATGTCACCATGGACCTGTGTACATGTGTGTGTGCTGATCGGTACATGTGGACTGCTATGTGATGTGCAGGATGTGTTACATACATGTATGTAATTCTGTATAAAGTCCACAATTGCTCTTATGGAACTGCCTTTTATATCAGTATGTGATGTACCATGGATGGATCGATCTGATTGATCCAATCTATCAATTGATCATGAACTCTAGACCTAACCAAGCCAATTTATCAATTGATCAATACATCATGGACTCTAGATCTGATTGATCCAATCTATTAATCGATCAATAGATCATGGACTCTAGATCTGATTGATCCAATCGATCACCAGATCTTGGACTATAGATCTGATTGATCCAATCTATCGATCAATAGTTCATGGACTCTAGATCAGACTGATCCAATGCATCAATAGATCCTGGGGTCCACACAAAGCAATCAATTTCTACTTGCAACCGATCTTTCACGACGACACCGCCACACACCATACTTTTTTACCAATATTGAAAAAAAAAAAAAGATCAGATGAAATTGATTACCCCACACACTATCAAAGATAAATTGATCACCACGTGCACCTTACGGTCGCAAATCGTAAACGATCGTACATGGCACATACCGGCGATCAATCTTACAATGCAATTGTTTCTGGCTCGTGCGAATGATATCCCATTGGATCCGGTTGGACGTTCCAGTCCCATCAGGAATGAAAATGACCTCCGCGCATATTGCGATCGATCGCTATCGTATTGTACATATTGGGCCACTTTGCCGCATAAAAAATCACACGTTTCTTAAGACCGCCGTCTTATACATGTGTTGAGGTCATGTTGCAATCTGACCGTGCAATCTTTGTGCAATCAACTGTAGATTACCCAATACTGTGTAATATGAGGCCCTTAGGGTCACCACACACATCATAATCTGAGCGTACAATCTCTGTCCAATCAAATATTGATCTATCAGAACTATGTGATATGAGGGCCTACCTAATCAATCCAACCAATCTGTATACAATCAGGCCGGGGCCCTTGTACTAGACACATGCCCAGTGAGCTTTACGCTATACTCAGACATGAGACCGCACTCGCCAGAACTTTTGCGTCTCTGTCAACGATCTTTTGTCCCCAAAAATTCCAAAAACTGTAACAATTGTATCTCCTGTTCGCATAATACACGCATGATGCTACCAGGAACAGGAAACGCGCATGCGCATCGCATACGATCGATTTTCTTACGATGGGAAAACCAGATCTGCCAAAAAGATTGCTCAAGTTGGAGAGAATTGCAGCGGCGTCAATGTTTCTGGCGACGTTGGCGAATTATCTTTGGCGCAAGCGATTGTTATTTTAGACACACACGTTAGATCGCTGTCTTATGTCTATGGGCAGCCAAAGTGTGATCAGATCCACATTGTGTGCTGAGCATGCATGTTTATTGAGAGCATGCCCCCCTCCATCCTCCTTTTTACATGTATGACCATGCCTGTGTCGTACTCTGCACATGTGTACAGAAAAGGGGGCAGAGAACAAAGACATGGGGGCACCAGGATGCATGGTGTGATGCCAGGCGATGTGAGTGGCACACGTGCAAACCACAACACAAAGAGCAATCAGTACAGGATCAGCTGGGTGTCCCCCTCCTGACTGTGTGCCCCCCTCCTGACTGTGCACGTGACCAGGACAATGCCACCTCATCATGCCAACTTCTACTGACCCAGCAGTGCCAGGGGGGTGGGTGACACCAAGGGTCAGGCCAGGGGGACTGCTGATGGCACGTTCATCCATCTACCCACACTAATCGTAATGCATTGCTAGGCATCACATACCGGGCCAAGTGTCTGTTAGGGGGCTTTCTGGCAGACAAGGGGTTAATAAGCCGGGGCTGGCACACAGGGGGCTTCCCCTGCCACCTCCAGCCCCCCCGGGGGGGGGGTCAGTTCTACATTACACCTTCTGTGTGCTGTGCTGCACGTATGCAGGTGGTTGCTCTGTGCAGGTCATCCAAGGGTGTGGTGACCCAGCATGCACATGGGCATGGAGGGGTTAAAGGGCACCTGTCAGAGATACTCAGCCACCGTGCCACGTGATACAGGTTTGTCAACTCTCCAAAAAGCGCAGAGACTTGGATCTGGCGCGAGGCTGCGTGCACGCTGGGCTTTCTGCAGGTGTGCCTTAACCCCTCCCGTGCCAGAGGACACAGACCGGCCGCCCCTTACCCCAGCGCAGCTGCAACAGCCTGACAATGGCACAAAAGGTTTGTCTGTCTGGAGATCTCACAATAGAAGCCGCTTTTCCATTGTCTCCCGGCGAACTGAACACCATTCACTCCACTTCTTCCCCCAAACTGCCATCTACTCCCAGGACCACGTGGTTGGCTTTGTGCCGGGGACCCTGCGAGGCCAAAAATGCAGCATGCAACCTGTCTGTGGGCGTTTACATTCAGAACGGGTTGGCGTTTTAATGGCAGCCTTTGTATGCTTGGTGTGTTCCTTTAAAAACTGTTCCCCTTATTTTGTCTGCTGCTGGAATAAAAAAAAAAAACTCTGACTTTACTATATAAACAACACACACACACATTATATATATAATGTGTGTTGTGCTACCTTCATGAACTATAGCTTTGTACCTCTTCTGAGGATCCGTCTGTGTCTGGACTGGAACATGAGATACATTGTTACATTTGTTTTATACTTTGCTTTAGTACATTTGGCTTTGTGTTGGCTCATTATCTACTTGTTTATGTTTTCTTTAACCTTCTGTGTTTGCTTTGTTATTGTTTTCTGCTACTTTGTATAATTTCTGATGTTCTGTGCATGACTTCACCAATACTTTATACTTTGTTTATTGGACTTTCTTATAGTGTATTAGAGTTTATTATAGTGTATTTGGCTTTGTGTTGGCTCATTGTCTACTTGTTTTTGTTTACCTTTCTGTGTATATTTTTGTTAAGGTTTTGTGTTTCTGCTACTTTTGTACCTTGTGTTTTGTGTTCATGTCTTCACCAGTACTTTTATACTTTGTAACTGCTTATTGGACTCTCTTATAGCATATCTGGCTTTGTGTTGGCATTTTGCCTACTTGATTATGGTTTTTTTTTTACTTTATGCTTTGTCGCTTTTTGTGTTTTCTGCTACTTTGTATCTTGAGGGCCCGTTCACACCATCGTCCGGATCAGATGCGGTACGTTACATTTTTCTTCCGCACCCAAAATGCATCCCTTGTATGTGATTTTAGGGCTCTGTTCACACCAGTCCAGTCCGTTCCAGTGCGGAGAAAAAAAGAAATGCTGCATGTCACATTTTTCCTGCACTGGAACGCACCCGAGCGCGTCACAAACGCACCGCACCGGATGGCAACAGAAGCTATGGCATTGAGCAGGAAGAGATTAATTTGCATAATGACATTACCCCCTAAAAAAAAAAACACACTGGAACGCGTCCCAAACACATCACAAATGCACCGCACCGCGTTTGCAGAAACGCGTGCAGATCTGGTCCGGCCATGGTGTGACAGGGCCATGAGTGCTATTCTGTGCAGGTCTTGAGTAGTACTGTAGTAGTTGAAACTGGTAATTAAACTTTGTTATAGTACATTTTGCTTTACGTTGGAGTATTGTCTACTTGTTTTATGGTTTGTTTGTTTTTTAACCTGTGTTTGTTTTGTCAACTTTCTGCTACTTTGTACCTTTTAGTGATGTTCTGTGCATGTCTTAACTAGCACCTGATACTCTGCAACAGTTTATTGTTATAGTACAGGTGAAACTCGAATAATTAGAATATCGTGCAAAGGTCATTTATTTCACTAATGCAACTTATGCGGTGAAACTAATATATGAGAGAGACTCATTACATGCAAAGCAAGATAGTTCAAGCCGTGATTTGTCATCATTGTGATGATTATGGCTTACAGCTCATGAAAACCCCAAGAACCCCAAATCCACAACCTCAGAAAAGTAGATTATTACATGCAATCAATAAAACAAGGATTGTACATAGAACAATATCGGACCTCTGAAAAGTACAAGCATGCATATGTACTCAGTACTTGGTTTGGGCCCCTTTTGCAGCACTTACTGCAATTACTTTTGCACGATATTCTAATTATTCGAGTTTCACC